ACTTGAATGCTACGGCAGCACTTCACTGCCAGCCTCTCTTTCGGACGCGGCCTCGGATGCTTCGTATCCGCAGACTCCTCCGCCAGCCTTTGGTAATTTGGTCATAACTTCTTGTATGAATGTCCAAATGAAGAACGGTTTGAAGAGTTAGAGACTAGACTCAAAGACCTTTAATTGGATAGGTAATACCTCACATAAAACCTTATATATATGTAGATATGTCCGTCCAAAATTTAGTCTTGTGCGTACTCATTTGGAACTTTAGTCTATCATGAAATTTCCAACTTGACTTGGACTTATGGCTCTCCCTAGACCCCACATCACTTATAATATGACTCATACACTTATTATCATATCCAATTGATATTCATCCTATTAATAGTCCTCATCTTCACACAAAATAATATAATTAGCGCACATCGACTTTCTTAATAGCGCTTAGGTATTTTGAAATTTTCCGGGGTATTACAGAATCGAATAGCCTTGGCCCTCAAGTTCGATCACCCTTGAACCAAGAGAAGTTTCAAGTGATATAAGAACAAAGTAACAAGATAATGAAAGCTAGAAAAAGACAGTACATCACATTTACGCAATATAAAGCAATATAGTGTCTTTTTCTAGCGTTCATTATCTTGTTACTTTGTTCTTATATCAGTTGAAACTTCTCTTGGTTCAAGGGTGATCGAACTCGAGGGTCAAGGCTATTCAATTCGTTTGGTTTGTATTTATTTCTTTTATCGTCAAATTCAATATTAATATATTCTCTTAATTTGTGTCAAGTTATATCACGTATCCTTAAAACCGCATATAAATACAATTATTATCCGTTTTTAGGGTAAACATAATTATCTCGCATTGCCTCCAATGTTTGGATGGTCTTCTTAGACTGGCCATCAGTCCGGGATAGAATGTTAATTGTGATAACACTCACTCTACTTTTTTATAATTAACTACTCTTAGAGTACGCGCGTCGTGCGTGTACCTCATATTAATGTGTGCACAATTTTTTAAGAATTACATGAATATTATTACAATGTGTTTTATTTATGAAATAAAAATTAAAGAAAAAGGTATAAATTTCTAAAAATAAAGAATGTTGATCTAATGTAGCAAACTCAATAAGAAAGAAATTATGTCCCCTAATTAGAAGTCTTCATATGCCTTGTCGTATTTTCTGAAGATTACTGTGGGAAAACAACCTATTTAGAATTTATTTTATCTTCTACTCGTTCATCCTTATTGCTTTAAATTTATATTTATATCAATTTGATTCTTGATATTATATAACCGATTTTATTCTATTTTTTGATTTATTTTTTCACCCCAATGCTTTTCCTATGGATATTTTTGTATCCTGAGTATGTTGAATTTGAGAAAAATAACATTGGCTTTTTAACTATTTAGCTGATTCAAAGACATTTTCTTGCCAAGTTCAATGACTTGATTATTGGTTCTCAACGGTAAAGAAAATATTTTTACAGATTCAAATTCGTAATATTAGCTCATCTCATATTTTAAAATGTTTAACTGTATTTATAATAATGTTTAACTATAAGTATATTTTTATCCAATAATAATTTTATGTTCAGAAGATAAAAATTGATCTAATAGTTTACTTATTAAGTTAATTTAAAGTTATAATATTAGAACAGTAATTAAATTATATTTTGTTATAAAAAATCAGGCATCATTTTATTATAAATAAATTTTAAAATTTAATTATTTTCTCAACCGCTTTATTAGAGTTTAAATTCAAAGCCGACGAACGTTTAAGTAAGATACCAAAATCAAAAGGAGACTACTTTGAGTCATACGTTTGGAGAACCTTAACTGAAGTGGAATTAATAATACCAAATATATAGATCTCTTACCTAGTTCAATAAGGAAAAATTCAACAAACAAATATTTAATTGATAACAAAGTCCTAAATATTAGGAACATAACTTAAAATTATAATTTTGTCTAGTGTGAAATCTATTTTGAAATGGTAAAAAAGGCGAACGATATTTTGCTAAAGATCTTGGTGCTTTTAATATAACTAGTTTTAAGATACGCGCGATGCGCGTGACCCTATATCGATGCGTATAAAATTATAAAAATGTAAGCCCTTGAAAATATTTTTTTTAAAAAAATATAAGATCTTGAAAATGACAAATATTGGGCATATTTAATTAAAAAAAAAGGAGCGGATAGCCTAGCTAAGTATGAAAACAACCAAGATAATTTGGAAAGTTTAGTGTTCTATTACGTAACCCCTTCTTTCGTATCAAAATAATCGTCTAGGTACCATGTATGCTAGATAAGTCAACTACAAAAAGAAAAAAAATTAGCGATGGACAAATTATGTAGTCAAATAACAAAATTTATCACTAATCTTATTCAGTGATAGAATTAGTGACAGATTATTAAAAAAATTATATCAGCCACAAGACGAATTTCGTAAGTAATTTCTATTTTGTAAATTTATATTATGTAATAAACTTTCTTAGTAATAATATCAGTTTCTTTTTTACCACAAAATAAAAGTCCTTTTTCATCTATTTAACATGAATATGCATTGAGGTAATTTAGGTATTTTCTATAAACTAAATTACAGTAATTAATTTTTTATCTCAAATTAATAATTACTATTTTTTCAAAAACAATTACTATTTCAAAACCTAATGCCGTATTAAATTTTTAGAATAGAATAAACGAATTTGACCAAGCTTCTTAAAAAGTACTTATGATTTAAATTTTAAAAATAACAAAAAATCATATGAAAAGAAAATAAAGAGGCAAAATTGGTCTTTATGATTAAACAATGACAAAGAACAAAAATATTAAATAAAATCGTGAAGTTTCCTTGTTGGAAACCAACAAGAAACTTTCCTCCTATTTTTTTTTTTTTTTGTATTCTTTTAGTGTTTTAATATTTTGTATCCATATTAGGAGATGATATTTAGAACTCCAAAATATTAGGAAAGTTTTTTGATTTTACAGTTTTATTCAGTGTGAAATGTATTTCTAAAGGGTAAAAAAGACGAACGACATTTCATTAAGGGCATTCGTGCTTTTAATATAGTATATATATATAGATAGATATAGATCGATAGATAATAGGTAAAACTGAAGCATATTCATAGTACCTTAGAAATATGGTGTTCTAATGTTTTATCTCTTAAAACTCTCCCGGCTTGCTATATTTAGACTTGACTTTCCAAGTCTTCCTCGAAGAAGTGTAAAGGTCATATGTATATTGAAGTGCTATTGAAAATAATTTTAATATAAGATAACGTTTTATGCTTATTCAATCAGGCTCTAAACCAAATATAAAACTCATGTATCAAAATTACAACAAGGCATATGACTTCCATGGGGAAATGTTACAACAACGGACCCAGTGTAATCCCATAAATGGGATATGGGAAGGGTAGTGTGTACGCAAATCTTACCCCTATCTTATAAAGATAGAGAAGTTGTTTCTGATAGACCCTCGGCTCAAGGAACAATGGAGATAAGGCAAAAGTAACAAACAATAGTAACAACAATATATTAAGGTAACGGCCACAAATGACACATCGTGTAATGGTAAAGATTCATGAATAAGATAATACAAAAATAATTCTAGTACTACTGGTAAGCCTAGGAGGAACACACTACTATCTGTCAACATACAACCTTAATTCTTGACCTCCACGTCTTTCTATCGTGGGTCATATACTCGGTAAGCTGGAACAATGACATGTCATGCCTAATTACCTTTCCCCAATACTTCTTAGGTCTACCCCTTCCCTTTTTCAGACCCGCAATGGACAACCTCTCACACCTCATGACCAGAGCATCTATGTCTCTCATCTTCACATGCCCGAACCATCTCAGCCTTGACTCCTGCAACTTACTCTATTTTATTTTATTTTTATTTTATAAACTCAAGATATATTTAAAAATAAATTTGTGTGATCTCTTCAAACAAACTATACTTATTGACATAGGGCACACAAAACATGCTTACCGGATTATTTAAATTTAATTTCATGAATGTAAATATTTTCCGCCATACGAAATGCCCCTTAAGGAATATATGTGGAACTTAATTTATTCCCTTTTCCTCCTACCAGGAAAAAAGGAACACCTTTGTCTCTAACCCACCTCTTTGTTCACCGGCTACAATACTATATTTCAACTTTTTTATCGTATCCAAGAAAAAATAAAGCTTTTTATCGTAAATATTTTCTTAACGTAAGCATTCTATTTCCCCACTTTTTCTTTTAATATTTCAACCGTTGATATAACCACTTAAAAAGAAGGTAGGCAAAAAAATAATAATAATAATTTATTGGTAACACCATATGGAAATGCTCTTGAACAATTTTTTCCATAGCTCTTAAAACTTTTTTTCTCTTTTACCGAAAGGGTCCATTCTCAACAAAAAGCACATAGCTGTTTAGAAACAGACATGATAGTTGAGCTCAAGATCCTTATCTCCTTCACGGGAAGAAGTCGGTGAGAACTAGCTACTAGCTACTAGCTACTACTGTAGACATTTGTTTTTTACACTTATCCTTTGAATAGAGCCAAGTTGTTGTATAATTAATATTACTTTCTCACACCTTGTGAATTATGTTGAAAATTTAGCTTGTGAACGTAGGGAGAGACAGATGTAACGTCCCTCGTTCTTATTTTCGATTAACTTTAGATTATCCTAATTGGAATAATTTAATATAAAATAAAAAGCATTTATCTGTATTGTACTTTGTACATATAAAAATATTATAAAAATGATCTGTACTGATACTAGCATTTGTATTATTAAAAGTTTAACCTTTAAAAAGTTGAAATCTTTCAATTTTGACGCACTTCTAACTATCATATAAAAAAAATATTCAGTAATATCCATAGTAATCATTTCAGGGAAAATGACACAACGTAATTAAATAAAATTTAGAAGATAAAAACAAAAGCGCTTGCTGGAAAGAAGAACGCATGGATGACATGTAGTTAGTGAATAGTGAATAGAGAGATTGACAAAATCTCAGTTATTTAATGCTTTTTACTTCTTTTACTTGACTACTATTATCATCAACTTCCTCGATCTTTCATTTGCACACTTCTTCTGCTTCTAACAATGGCGGCATTATTGTGCAAGAGAAATGCAAAGAGTTTAATTTTCAGTTCAATTATATGCTTCCTAATACAAATAACAGCTCTAAATGGACAACTTAGAGTTGGGTTTTATTCTCAAAGATGTCATAATGCAGAATCCATTGTTAGCTCTGTCGTAAAAGAAGCTTCCCAAGGAGAACCAAGAATGCCAGCCATGTTACTTAGACTCCATTTCCATGATTGCTTTGTTCAGGTTCATTAATTTTTCTTCTACCTTTTTTAGTATCAATTTTAACGAAAAATTAATTAAGCGAACATTTTTTTTTCTCCTTTTGTTAATGTTAAAGGGTTGTGATGGATCAATTTTGATTGATAATGTTAAAGAAGCTGAAAGAAATGCATTTGGACACGAAGGACTTGGAGGATTTGAAGAGATCGAGAAAGCCAAAACTCGATTGGAAGCTCAATGCCCAGGGGTGGTTTCTTGTGCAGATATTGTTGCTTTAGCTGCTAGAGACGCTATCGTCTTGGTAATTATTATGTCTATTATAAAGATTTACTTTTAAAATTACCTCATAGTAACTGACTTAGTTACACATATATATTTTACGCTGTCAGTGTATACAACTTAAATTTTGATCGAAATTAAATTATTATTCATATATATATATATATNAGATGTGGATGACTCAATTGATGTTTTAAAAGGAAAATTCAAAAATAAAGGCTTCACTGAAAAAGAACTCGTCATTTTGAGTGGTATGATCTATTCCTTCTACTTCAGTTTTATCCATTGGTATGATATAACCCATCTATTTCATTTATTAAACTTAACTTACACATACAGTATAACATGGATACTGTAATTATAGCAAGTTATCTATCGTACTTTTAGATTATTAATTCCACAAGTTATATGTAGTTACTTTTTTAGTGAATTAATCGAGTAAAAATTCCTCTGTACTTTCAATATATAAAAGTTAAACTCGTATACTAAGACATATAAATAGTGATATTAATCGTAATAAACATACAGAATATTCAATGTATCACTGATAGAATTTGGTTTATAGCTATAATATCATATATTTTTGTCACTTTATTATAAGTTTGACATTAATTTATTATGTATCATGTTAAACATCTAGGGGCACATACTATTGGCACAACAGCTTGTTTTTTCATGCCTCGAAGATTATACAATTTCACTGGAAGATCAGATGCAGATCCAACTATCAATTCTAAGTTCCTCCCAGAGTTAAGAAGCAAATGCCCCAAAAATGGAAACATAAATTTCAGAATACCTCTTGATAACGCAAGCGAACGAAAATTTGACGATCAGATTTTGCACAACATAAAGAATGGTTTCGCAGTTATAGCATCAGATGCAAGGCTTTATGACGACAAAATTACACGAGCAGTGATTGATTCTTATCTTCAGAGAAAGAAATCGATTCCTAATTCACCATCATTTGCAAGGGATTTTGGTTTAACCATGATAAAGTTAGGAAGGCTTGATGTCAAGACTGGATTAGTAGGAGAGATTAGAAAGGTTTGTAATTCTTTTAATAAAATGTAATAACATTAATATTGAGCCATACTATTACTTAATTAACGTCTTAATAGTCTTCGAGAAGAATAAGATGTGATGCCTCCCTATAGTTTTTATTCATTTGGTTCCACAATCTGGGGCTTATGCTGGATTATATTGTTGGGTTGACCTATTTCAAAATTGTTGTTATTACTTAGCTTATGTGCCTTATTTTAAGCTCCAATATCTCAATCCAAATACGTAATTGCTTATTTTTTTCCGGCTCTAACACTTCTAAAGTGATTTTCAACACTTGGTGCTTTAAAAACTTCTTAAATTTAGCTTTATCCAAAAAGATTCATAGTCTATTACCGAAGTAAAAAATACATGGAAAAAAAGTATATTACAAGAACACACACACAAAAGACTTCGGAGAACGAATCACGAGCAAGCTAATGTAGTATCATCGTATTTTTCTGTCATAATTTCTTAAACTGAAACTATAAGGATTTCAAATCATGAAGAAGAGAAGGGAATGTGTAACTTGAACAAGTGAGAATGGTAGAATAATATGCTTTGAGCTCAATCAATTTTTTCATCCCTTGGCAGTTTGGACACGATGAAGTGATGGGAATTCTACGAAGAAAATAATTGCTCCCAAAAACAGGATTGGAAGTTCTTCAAAATGATTATTAATGTTCATATGACTATCCTTAAACTTTTAGAACCCGTTTGATTGGTAGAAAAAGAGGTTTAATCATCCCATTATACTCTTCTAAAATCTTATACTAGTATATTGTTTGGTTGCTTCTTGTGTTTTCACATAAATACTTGCATAAATTATGGTTGAATATATGTATCAAAAAAGAGCAAAATTCATTTGTAGCTACTCTATGCAAACTTATATCATTTGGTAGCCACAAAATTTCAGATACATTTAGTAGCCTAAAAGATATTAGAATGGCCGGTCCAAATTCCATCAACCCCACAACATCTACCTTTTATTTTCCACCATCTATCAGACATTCACACAAAAAAGCTCCACCGTTGCCTTATCGCTATTGCACCGCCGTCGCTACCGCCATGGCACCGCTACCACCTCCANAATAAGATCTAAAAGAGAAAAAGAAAGAAAGATTGAGTATTTATAAGAGAAAAATTATATACTTTATATACAGAAGATATATTAATTATTTACTTTATATACAATTATAAATTCTATGTGCACTGTATATATACATTATATACTGTTATATATTTTATATACAAAATTATATGAACATTGAATTTGTATAAAAACTGTATATGTATTATATAAGTGTAGATATACCTTTCATATAAATGTGCATACATAATATATACATATTATATACAATATTCTCAACACTCAATGTGGCCACTGTAATCTTTCACGCCCAGTTTTGTATAATACGTGTAAATAAATAAATATATATATATATATACTATTATATACTTTATATACAAAATTATATCAACATTGAATTTATATAAAAAGTGTATATGTATTATATAAGTGTAGATACACCTTTCTTATAAATGTGCATACATAATATACACATTATATACAATATTCTCAACACTCAATGTAGCCATTGTAATCAGTTTTGTATAATAAATGTATCATTGGTGTAAAATGTATACACACCGATTATACACCATATTATACCATTATTATACATTGATTACACAATGTATAAATAAAGGAGCACTTATGGTAATGGAGGACAATGAACTTGGCCGAAAAAAGCTTTTCTCTGGCTGTCACTATTTTATTTTCTCCATTTTTGACCTTCTTGTAAAATTCATCCGAAAAAATATCATGCAATATTATATCTGAAAGTGGACAGAAAGCAAAGAAAGCAGCAACCACCGCCAAGCTTTTACCGGAAATTACTCAAAGAAGGTAGATATTTTTGCATCTAAGTAAAGGAGGAGGAGATTTCAAAGAAAAAAAGAGAAATTTTAAAAAGATGTATGTTGGTGTCGCTATAGGAGAAGAAAAAAAAAAAAGAAAAAAAATGAGGGAGTGAAGAAGGGAAAAGATAAGAAGAGAGGGAAAGATGAAAGTCACTGGTAGATTGAAGAAGGACAATATGAGAAGAGAAAGAGACGGAGTGAGGAGTAGGCGACTGAAAATGGGAGAAGTACATTGAGAATAGTGGCTATAATTTGTCAATAAATTGGACCTAAAGGCTATTTCATGTCCATGGGAAAAAATATAGGCTAATAAAAATTCCAGGGGCCATAGATGGTCATTTTATCTATAAAAAATTAACAAAAAGCCCTTACACCAGAGGCGAATCTAGGATTTTAGTTATATTGGTTCAACATTTAAAGTTACGAGTTCATATCTACTATTTATTGTAATTTTAGTAATTTTTCATAATTTATGCTTCGCGTCGAAAGTATTGAGTTCATTTGAACCCGGTAGTTCTATTGTGCATCCGCCCCTGCCTTACACACTTTAGATTTATTTCTCTTTTTCTTTGAAAAAAATAAAAGCATTTGTATTATTAAAATTTTATATTATAATACCTTCATTATTAATTATTATATTGCTAATACCTGCATAATTTGTTAACAAAACCAAACAACTCCTATAAAAGTCCTTTTATTTGCAAATAAGTTAATACTAGTATAATAGTATTATAATACGAGATTAAATAATAATTGAATTATCTAATAAAATATTATTATTAATGGACATTTGGTTTATTGGATTAAAAAAGAATAAACAAGGTATAATTTAATATAAAGGTTTGGTTTACTTGAAATATCCATAATTAACAAAAAAAGAAGAAAAGATGTCCATAATTTTCCAGAAACTAAAACGATAGCTGTATGAATATTGAACCTAGCAAACGACGACGTTCGCGGCTTTCATCTCCATTTCCTTCTTCGCCTTTCTACTCACTGTCACTACCCTGCTCAGTAGCAACAACGATGGGGAGCATACACAACAGCAAGAGCAGGCTCAACAGCAACACCATTACTCCCTGCACTCGCACACACCAGATCGGCGCTCTAGCTCTCGTTATCACCACCTTCTTCCTCACCAGAATCTTCGATCAGTCCTTCAATCGCTCCTCCTTCTCAATCCCTACTACTCCATACCGATCCAAAAACGACGTCGTAAGGTTCTCGGATTCATCAAGTGGGTCCATCTTCTGGCCACAACGTGGGTATGGGACCCACCTTTCTTTGAAGATTTACGTGTATGATGAGAACGAGATTGATGGGTTGAAACACTTGTTGTATGGCCGTGATGAGAAGATTTCTCCTGATTCTTGCCTTAAAGGCCAATGGGGTACTCAGGTAGTTTCTTCCATATTCCCCTGTGTTGTTATTGGGAATTTGTTTTTAAAGTTAAACGGAAATTTGTGGTTTTTTATTTGTATTACAAATTATTAGCTTGATTTTTATTTTTCCTATTGATTATGCAACTTCTAACATTTGAGCTCGGTAACACCCTAATAGTGAGAAAATGATGATTCGCTAAAAAAGTTACTATCTTTGTTTTAATTATGTATTCCCTATCTCGGTTTGAAGTTGCTTTAGAGTAGTTAATTGTTGGACGGCATGAATTTAGATTAACTGTAACATGCGTGTAAATGTGGTTATCAAAAGCTAGTAGCAAAACTAGGTAACTTGAAATAACTTTCAGTCTAAATCAGGTCACTGATCTTAATGCAAGAGAATGATTGAGGTGGATTTTGCCTGTGGGAAGAATTGTACATAAGTTGGAATATAGAACTTACATTTGCCCTCATATCTAACTTCAATTATTACATTATTGAAAAAATTGAAGTCCTATTTATTCTCAAATGTTACTTTTTCCGTATCTGACATCGAGGGATTATTATCTAAAAGTCATTGTTGTACATGAGGTGGTGAGCTGGGTTGTATATTTTGTAACTATCTCTTCTTTTTGAATTTGAAGTATTTGGTGCAAAGGAAGGGAGATTGATAAAGGAGAAACCAGAAAAGGTCCTTTTACCAGAGTATGCTGGTGAGAGAGGAGACCACTTTTCCATACTCCTCGATCTGGATTCCTAGGTCGCTCACGAAGGTGTGCTTTTTTGCATGGCTAGCGGCGAGGGGAGTGATCTTGACTGCTGAAAATCTCCGAAAGAGAGGAATTACACTTGTTAGTTGGTGCTACATGTGTAAAATCTTAGGGGAAGAAGTTGATCACCTTTTGTTGCATTGCCCTGTGTCCTCTGCTTTGTGGAGGGCAATCCTGAATCTTTTTAGTGTTCAATGGGTGATGCCAAGCACTGTTAAGGAAATGTTATATAGCTGGGGCGGTTTCTGTAGAAGAAGAAAGCAAAAGGCGTGGAAGTTCGCCCCGTTAGCTCTCATGTGGGTAGTATGGGGGAGAGAAATAGGAGAGCTTTTGAGGAGATTGAGTCTCCTTTTTCACATCTTAAGAATAGTTTTTTATCTTTGATCGCTTTTTGGTGCACTCATTTAGCCCCTACTTGTATAGAAGATTGGGCGTCTTTTGTAGAGAATCATGTTCTGATGTAAATTCTCTACGTCTTTGGTATACTTCGTGTATACGGGAGTTCTCTCCCTTTTGATTAATACAATTTACCTTATCAAAAAAAAAGGAGAAACCAGAAAAGGATCCTCAGGGAACATATCCGTTTTTTGGTTAAGTGATGTCTGAGGAAATACTAATGAGAAGCACATTTGTCCCTCTGTAACTTGAGAAATTACTTGAAATCCTTCCTTGTAATTCTCTATCATCGTTTGAGAATTACTTGCAAAGTTACTCGAGATCCTGTCCAGCCTTTCTACTCCCAATCTACTATGGCCATGGAGAAAAATCTGAAAAAATAAAGCTCCTTATAAGGTGAAGTGTTTTGTCTAGTTAGTTGCGAAGGAGGCTTGCCCAACCCAATACAATCTTCAAAGGAGACGCTTACCAGAGTGCACAAGATGTCCACTTTGTGAAGGTCAAATAGAGGAAGTCAACCATCTGTTCCTGCACTGTCACTTCACACACCAAATGTGGTTACTCTTCTTCAATATCCTGAACATTAAATGTTCCATGCCAAAAACAAGCCTCGACTTTCTGAAGAGTTGTCACAGAAAAAAGATCTAGCAAGACAA